TATGAATATAATTATATGAAATTGTTTTAGTATCTCTCTTTTTCAAATAAACGTTACGGTTTTACTTATTTTATTTAGAGTTACAGAATATGTAGTTTACTTTTAAAGAACTTTTAAAACAAACTATAGCAAAGTAGCAAAAAGTATAACTAATTCAACATAATTTACAATATATAATTCCACTACATAAAGCTTTTAATAAAATGTAAACATCGTCATATATAAAATATTTTTTGGTCAACGAAATTAGATTTTTTGAAAATAAAAATTCATTTTCTATTTATACATCTTTAAATACACAAGAGTAAAACTGTTTTGCTTCTTGCTGAAGCAACGGGTAACACTTTTTATTTATTATCAAAATAATGTGTTTTATCTATTGTAGTACTACATATTACATACATTTTATATAGTGTCAATATAACTTTCCTATATATTAGATATAAATTTAAGAACGAATCTATGACCATAAAAGTAGATATCAGTAAGGACATCTATTCAATAATGTACACCATTTCCTATTGAGAGCAAATAAATTAAATTACATATTTTTTGTTTTTAGTTTTTTTTTTTTTGGGTTTTAGACGAACTGGTTTGAAAACCAGTCTGGATTTTCTGATGCGGTAAAATATTATGCATTCTAACTGAAAAATATGAAATGGAAAAAATTAATACATAATTTTTTTTGTTGTAATAGAAAATTTTGTTAAATATTATACTGCACACGAGGCAATGAACGGTTATCATTATAAATTTCGAATTTAAGAAATTTTAAACACGAAATTCCATTTTTTAACAGTAATTTTTGATAAACAATAAGACTAGTTTAGACTTTGCAAAGCGGTCAAAAATATGTGTTTTAAGAGATTTAAAAAGGACTCGTATATACTAACACAGGCGAACAAGAGCGATTGTTTCACTTTTTGAAATACACTTTGATAAACAGAATAAATAAAATAAACTAAGATATTACAGATAAGCACTTATATGTTAGGACAGGGTTTCCTAAGCGTTCGGGAACTACAGTCCAACTCAGTTGGGGATATCCAGAATTATACTTGGGACGGCGTGGGGAGGCTACAATAAATCAGGAATGACAGCGGAGACTCAGGGGGTTCTCCTACTTCACTCGGTTTCCTTAAAATCTACAAATCTACAAAGTGTATGTATGTACATATTTGATAAGTCCCTTTTGTAATTTGAAATTAACTTCAAAATAATATTGCTAAACTAAATACTATTATCAAGTAAATGAAAAATATATAATTTTTAAAATAGACACATTTGTGTAAATACATATATGTGATATATTACCGACAGGTTGTAATGATTATTCTTTCCCTGCTTGATCTGTTTCAAATTTTCATTGCTTCATTAGTTTTCCCTTAGTTTTTTTTAGACTGCCTAGATATGTTGCATATTGGTAATATTACATTCACCGTCCTAAAATAAGAATTAATAAAATATAATACATTATTATTTGCTTTTCCAATTCTAATAATAAATTTCTAATAAAAAATGTTGTTGTCCAAACGATTCTTATTAAGTAGTTAAAACGAATCACAAATTAATCGTTTAAGAGTTGTCTGCATTTAATTTAAATTGTGCTCAAATCAAGGTTGTACATCGAAATACTTGCAAACTACTAAGGTGTGATGATATTGAAATTATGTAACATAACATAATCTATATAAATTATACAAGTATTAATATAGGCGAATATAAAAAGTTAATGTTTGTAAACTATATGGGCAGTTTCCTTGAAGAAAGCATTTGTACTCTATTATTATGTATAGTTGATACAGCTAATAATTTAAACTTTCACTTTGCGATTTGTTCTTGAAAAAATCTCTTATAGAATATTGTTTTATATGAATTACATACTATGTATTTACAATAGTAGTGCATAATTTTTTTGGTTTTATATATGTTTTAGGAATATATGAATTAAGTATTTTGGGATATTAAATTTTTTCAAAAATAAGGATATATTGTAGGCGGTACATTCGTAAATTATGCAATTATTTTGTTCCTTTTTATTTTTATTATGATATACTGCAATTTTCAAATGATTCAGCAAATTTTATTTTAAAAAAATTATATATGAATAATATTGCATGTAGGCCACTTTTAATGGTCATATTTTATAAAATTTTTATAATTTACATTAAGATTTTTTGCCTGCTTAATCAAATTATTCTATTATCTTAGAACCAGCACGATCATATGTGCAGATAAAATTTGTAAAAGGGTTAAATATCGAACGTTCTGTAATGTTGTGCTCACTTTTTACTTTTTGAGATCGGTATAGTTTACCAAATTAATATAAATGGATAACACTGTAGCAGTTATAAAAATTTTTTTAAAACAACTGGTCGATTTGCACAACTTATTGATGACTTTGTGATTCTCTTGATATTCAAAAGTAAATGAATGTCAGTATCTTATTTAAAAGGTGTTTTAATATAAAATCTTTACCTAACTTTAAAATAAAAACTAATATCATTTTTAGGCAGGTTCAAAATAAAATTTGTGGGTTTGGTATAATAAATCGTTTATATTAAGAAACAATAACTAAAACGTGAATGCCAGATGAAGTAAAAACATAATATTTGCAATTTGCTCTATATGGAAAAATCATCGTTTCTTTTTACAAGTCAAAAATATTTTGAAGAATTGCATTCCTAGTGACGTTTTTATATCATGGGTAACCTCTCAAACTATTTTAAATCAGTTTCAATCAACCACATCATCTACAAAATTGATTTTTGCAAAGTTTTATAAGAGTACAAGTGCTTTTCTCGTTATTTTCATTGTCATCACATTCCATAAGCTAATGCGTACATAACATAGCTAATACAAATATTTCGATGTACATATATAAATATATTTAGCTATTTCGATGAAATAGCTAAAACAATAATTCTATGTATATATGTATTATTACGTAAATTTGTTTTAATTAAATTATTTTATTTAATTTCAATTATGTTCTGTAGTAATTCATGTAAGTATATTGTATACGCATATCCAAATGTATATTTGTGTACAAAGCACATAAGAATTCAATTTAATTAAATATATGTCAATTTAATGAAGTGAATAATGAAACATGAAATCAAACAAAACAAATCAACAAGAATGAAACAAAAATGGAAAAAAACCATCTCAAGAGAAAAATTTTTCAATATTATTAATTTGTTTTAAAATTAAAATATACATGGGTATATATGATACATATATTTAGAATAAAAAATAAATTAAATTAAAATCTTTTAAATGATAATGCCATACAAGTATTAGATGAATAAAATAAACATAAAATTCGATAAATATACCTTAAATCAAACTTTACACATAGATAAGACAGAAGTTTCTATTTTGACTAATGACCTATGTATATTGACTAAATGAACGTTTGCAATTAGAAATGATACAATCTCAGGTTCTGAAGGTAAGTTGTGCAGGTACCCTTGAGGAGCTTGTATAACGATATGAAAAGTATAAAAAAAAGTGTTCGAATTATTTATCTTTGGAGAAAAAAATAAGTAATACGAATTTTCGATATACACCGCTGGCTTTTAATTTAATCTTTAATTTAAAATAATTAATGAAAGAAATCTAACGGATAACTTTAACGGATCAACCTATTTCTTTCAGTTTGTTGCAAGATTCGATGTGTTCGTATTCCATAATACGAGTACTAATAATAAAGTAATATTCCATAATACGAGTACTAATAATAAAGTAATATTCCATAATACTTAATAAAGGTTATAAAACAGAAATCATTAAAATTAAGAAGTTTAATTACAAGTTTGAAGATTTGCTTTTCTTTTTAAATCATTAAGTTATACGTGTTTGCTACAATACTGTTCTTGAAAGAAATAAATTTTTGTTATTTGCTCTAATTAGCACCTTTGAAATATTTTAAATATATCAACTTTTAAATCAAATGACAGTAACATAAGCGATTCTATATTTTAACATTATTACATATTAATTTTGAAGGAGCTCCAATTTAATACCTGAAAAACTACATGTTTCATAAACAGTAAAATATAACCTTAGTGCACCATTAAACATTTATCAATAGTTAAGTATAGCGATAATATTCTATATGCTTTATAACAATCGTTAAATATAAATTTAATATAAGTTTTATTTATATGAAGCGACTAGCAATTACAAATTATTTAGAATTTAAACATTAATATGACTACAAAAGTGTCAAAACACTTAGAAAGAACTTAAATAGTAAATAAACAATGAAAGATCAAATTTTGCATACAAAGTGCTCAGCCATCCAGAAATTAAGAATAAGAATATGTAATCATCATTAGTTTATTGCGTATATGAATTGTTGGAAATATTATATTTTAATACGAGTACTACATTTTATTTTTGATTTTAAGGATAAGATCTGAACAGCATCAAGTGTGGATTGAATACTTCATGTAATTTTCAATTAAAATAATATAGAGAGTGATATGCATTTAACCACAACAGATGAACACCGAAAAATATTTTCAATTTATTTATTGAAAGTTTGCAAAGTAGATTCAACTAGAGATTAAATTTTTATTTTTTTGCAGCAAAAATTTTTTGCTGTTGAAACAAATATTCATCTCTAAATATAAGAACATAGAAAATGTCTAAAGAATCTATTGAAATCTCCTATTTACTCAGTATTTCACTCATTGCTAAAATAAATTTAATTTAATATAAAACAAAGATTTCTTTCAGTGCCCTGATTTATTCATGTGAATAAAGCATAGTTAATGAAAATGGTTATCAAAATCTTAACAATAAATGTAAAGTAAAAGTACGACGATATAATACAAAAAAATTTGTGAGTTGTTTATATAATCTACTATATTTATAAACCGAGAAAATCCTGTAAAACTCTTAATATAAAAACTATAAAATACTTTGTTTTGCCCATCACAACTTCTTGGCTTCTTTGATCCTTTGTGTGATTAATTTGTTAATTTTTGTAGGGTATGGGCATATTGCACCACGCACTGATTGGGGAAAGGTAACAACAATATTCTATGCTATTATTGGAATTCCTTTAATGTTATTATGTCTGTCGAATATTGGAGATGTTATGGCAACTTCGTTCAGGTATTATAAAATTGAATTTTCTTAAAATCCTTGAAATATTTCTTTCCATATAATTTAAGATTCCTATATTGGCGCATATGTTGTTATGCATGTACTCGACGACCAAAACGTCGACGTGCACGTAGCTCTACTAGATTACGTTATAGTCAAAGATACTCAAGATCTCAACCGCCATCGACTGCAATACGCCGTTCAATAAGAGCATCACAACGTTCAGCAGATTCTGGTTTTGTAACATATGATCCACCTGGAGGTCTCTTTCATGCCTATTCTGATCCAGACATCAGACTTTCAAATTATGATGAAATAAATCATCGACATCGAAGATTTAATGATGACGATGATGAAGTTTATCGTCGTGGTGATCGTAGAATGGAACGGGATTATCCAAGAAGTCGTCGTAGTGATCATCATCGAGATTATCGTAATTTTGATTATGGTGATAATGAAGTGGATTATGACGTTGAAAGGCAGCCATCAAATCGAAATTCAAGATATAGTAATAGACAACAGCAACGTGAAAGAATGCGGGATCGACACACTGTTGAAAGAGAACGTAGTCTGTCGAGAGGAGATAGTTTCAACACACCAACTGGTAATAAACGTCCTTTAGGATCTAGAACTATGAGATCTGGTTCTGTTGGTCGAGATGTTTACTCAATGACAGTACCGAGTCCTAAACACAATCGCAGTAAATCACAACCAAATACACCAAAATCCAGGGCAAAATCGGTAGACCCTAGAACAATGCGTTATGATGAAGTTGATGACGAAGTAGCACGAAAAACACCGATATTATGTAACCGTTGGGCGATTGATGAAATGGATCGACGTGAATCACATATATCTACAAGAGTAAATAAGAGGAGAAGTTTTGGGGATGAAAATTGCGAAAGAAGTACAGTTTGTGATGCTGGAGGTGCAAGTGGCAATGGTAATTCACCACGCTATAAATCTGTTCCGCCAAGAAATTTTGGTTCAAATTCAGATCGCACATCTAGTTATCGCAATAATATAGATCGCGATCGTGATGATAGATATGATACACAACCAAGATACGGATCAAAATTAGATGTACCAGAATCATCTGGCTTGCGACGTAATTATGAAGGTGGAAGTCAACGTAGAAAAAATAATGACCGCGACTCATATTATCATAAAACGACACCACGTTCGTCGAGAAGTTCTCGTTATGATGATTACTATGATGATGAATTTGATGAAGATATTGAAATGCAACCAATACGAAGTGCAAGAGACCGTCCCAGAATGTCCCGTAGACCAAGTATGTATTTGATCAAATATTTTTATTTTATGTAATTTTTCGGAAAACTAAATTTTAGATTATAGATATAGAAAGGTTAAAAACTTTGAAAATATTAAATTGTTTTTCAAATACAAATTATTAATAAAAAGTTTTCATTAAGAACTGATATTGTTTATAGACTACTATAAAAAGCTTTAGACATTTCTTATGATTTTCGAGTGTTGTGTTCTTTGCCAAAATACCATAAAGCAGCCGCAAATGTGAATGAAAACTTAATTGCACTAAACTTTTCAATTTAAAGTTTCAAAAACGTAAAATTTTTAAGACAAAAACACTTTTGTTTATTGTGGTTTCCTTTTATATTTAGATTATCTTTCAGTAGTTTTTTAGCAATAAATCAAATTCACCTTGCTGATATTAAAGCTTTTCCACATTTCAATCATAATAAAATTGTCTTTTATCCTAGACAACACTATAGATTGATAGTTAATTTTATAGAATAAATTATTTTGTTTTATTTTATTTGAGGACTCAGACAAAAGCAATCAATAATGTAGAATTCATGAATATTAAAATACTCATAAAACACAGTAGCATTACTCAAATGTTGGGGACTGGCGAGACAATAATGTATATTTTATCTGTGCGTCGCCATTTATAAATATTTTTATTTATAAGTTTTGTCTGAAAAAATAGATTTCTATTCGAATTTTTTCTTTACATATTTTATAAACATTAAATACAATTTAAATTTCTTAGCTGTAACAGCCCAACCATTACCCCCATCACCACGTATAATGTCACCCATGGGTTTCGCAGTTCATCGTCAACAGCAAGCACGTATGAAACCTGTTTATGACGATGATTCATGGAACGATGATGATATTACTGACCCATATGGTGATATGGCGCAAGTTAATAGACCAGTACCAATATGGCTTTGTGTATTTTTGGTTGTAAGCTACATAATAGCCGGAGCTTTTTTATTTGCTTCTTGGGAAAAATGGAGTTTTCTAGACTCAGCATATTTCTGTTTTATAACATTAACAACGATTGGTAAGTTTAAAATTAAAAAAAACGTTATTTGTGCAACCAAGTGTTTAGTAACTTATTAAGTAACCAAGATAACAAGCTAATTTCCGTTTACGATAAATGGTTTTAAATTATTCAAAATCGGGTTTTTTTACCGTTCTCGATTTTTAGATTCGAAAATTATTTCCTTATTTTATCTAGAAATATATGTGCCTTGAAACTGCCCAAGTATTTGAACGTCCCTAGGGATATAAAATGGTGTAATTCCTAACTGAGAAGTTGAAACTCTATTCATTATTTCAACTAACTGGATTTATTTGCCTTTTTAAAAAACACAGGAGAACTTAAAGTTGGTTATTAGAAAATTCGGAAATCTGACTTATATCAGCAATATTACTATTAAAAAATATTTTACGTGAAAAGTTTACTTAAAAGAAAGATATTGTAATGGATTTTCCATTTTAAGGATATGTAGTAAAAACCTAAACTAGTCAGAAATTTAGTATATGAGTAGAATTATATTAAATTATTCATTGTGAGTTGTTGATTAATAAGTATTTATTTTACACTTGATAGTATCAATGTGTTGGCGAATGCATTGCATTAATTTGTTACATGAATGGGACTGATTGTAATTTCATTGCGTTGAAAAATTTGGTTTAGAAATTTTAGATTTTACTTTATACTTTGTTAACTTTGAAAATATATTTTTGTACAAATTTTTAAGATTGTCTTGTTATGTAGAATAGTGAATCATTTTAGTAGGAAGTATTTTTGATTTCAAAAATCTTATTATGTTCCTTTCTGTCATATTGGTAGTGAATCTTCAATAAATTAAATGTTAAGTGGAGTTACACTGTATTTTTGATTGAAAGGGTTTATTTACCTAAAAAAGAAAAAAAAATATTTCAGTTAAGAATACTTTTCAAATCGTAATAAAATTTTAAAATTTTATTGGTAGGAAATAGATTAAAACAGCAGTAGAAATTTTTATATATAAAGAATGCACGTGTGTGATGAATGATAGTTCTTTAAATGAAAAAAAATATAGCAACATACTTCATTGAAGTATAAAAGAATTTCCACAGGTTTCTATTGTTCAATATGTTTCTAATCGTGGTAACATAGGAAGCGTTAAAATATTAGCAATTATCTTTAAAACTGCAATGGCCTTCTATTTCAATTGAATATCTTTTACCATATCATGCTGTAGATTTTAAATAGAATTTTCATATGGGCCTTCAGTACTAAATTTGTCGAATTTTTAATTTTCATTATTACTATAGGTATTCTGTTTCAAATTTTGACCAACTACTTATCAACACACATATATTATACAACTGGAAAATTACATCCAAATTCCTCTTATATTATAAAAGTTTTCTATATAAATCTTTTTTTCAATTTCCACCTTACTTTATTTTATTACTAAGCTTTAATTTTTTTTATTTATCTTTTTATATTTTAATTTAATTACAACAACAACTGCGGTTATAACGGTGTGCACATTACATTGCTATATGATTTTCTTTTCTGTGCTTCAATTTAAATACAAAAGGATTTGGTGATTTTGTTCCAGCTCAAGGTGTCAAAGAAAGCTCTAAGGAATCGATTGCTTTATGTTCACTATATTTATTATTTGGTATTGCACTGTTAGCAATGAGTTTTAATTTAGTACAAGAAGAAGTTATTGCTAATGTTAAAGAAATTGCAAGACGATTAGGTATTCTTAAAGAACAAGAACCAATCGATGAGTAAAAATGAAAAAAGAAAAAAAAACAAAAACCAAGCCAAATTTATACTTTATACACAATAAAATTTATTCGTTTTTTTGAAGAAATGAAAGTAAAAAACGATTGAATGAAGGTACATAACATCACTAGCAGTAATAACAGTACATAAAAACATTAAATTTTACATATAAAAATGAAAAGGATGTTCAAGTAATAAAAAATAAAATTTTGTAAAACAAAACATCGCGATATGCAAATATATGAAAGTATGAAAATGGTATTGTTGGGAATAATGATAACAATGAGAAAGAAAGAACAAGAAAATTTTAATAATTCAATTATAAAGTTATGTATAGATTTTATGTTCCAGGAAATTCACTCCTTTAAGGATATTTTTATGTAAATGTTAAGATAAAAATTTTTTTTAATGGAAATTCAGTTTTGTTTTTGTTTTGTTTTTGAGTTTTACTTTATATAAGAAACAAAAAAAATTAAGAAATTTTAAAAACTCAATTTAAATTAATAAATAATTTTTTTTCACTTTCCAATTGAAATTTTACTTCTTCTAATTACATATACATAATTTGTGGAAATTAAATTTATTGGTAATTATGGATTCATTGTGTTTACATAATTATGGTAAGATTTGTTGGTATTATGACTTCTAAATATTGAAAAACAAGTTTGACAAGGTCATTTATTATTAAAGGTGAAAGAGCATTCAAAAAAGTTTGTGTATAAGTTGTTAGACGTTAAATACACGTATTACAAATTATTACTAATGGATTTTTTTTAAAATATAGCATATAATCATCTATTTTTCGTACCTTTGTATATTTATTTTAAATGTGACTGATGTCTTTGATCGTTATCCGAAATAACCTTGAAAGATTGTTAAAAAGGGGGTGAACCGTTATTTTTCTTGCACATTACTTTTAATGAATTGATAAAGATTATTATAAGATTTTTCAGACATTTGTTTATGGGTTTGCGTGTAATGATTAATTGTAATTTATTCACAATTCTGTTTTTACTCAATATAGATTATAATATTTAAAATTATCATTAGTTTTTTACAAAAAATGTAATATACAACAAAAATATGATAACGAATACAGTAATTAAAAAATCTCATTAAGTTTTTCACGTGGACAGGAGAGAAACCATGGTAAGTTATTATATATTTGACAAGTTTTTAATATATTGTATTTGATTTGTCGATATTGATTCGTTGAGTAGATTTATATATGAAATAACAAGTGGTTTCCTCTAAATTTCAGTGTGATAAAAAATTCAATAACTTATGATTAATATTTGGAGTAGCAATCATTTGTTTTCTTTATAATCATTAAATATTTATAAAATTAAATATTTATAATATGGCTAATATTCTTTTAATATGACTAATATATGGTGTTATAATATAATATAGGATGAAAAGAATAATAAACTAAGTGATTCTAATGACCAGGTCACGAAAAGAACAAACATGCAAGTGGAAAAGAACCAAAACAAAAAAAAACAAAAAAATTAAAAGACAATTTCGTTAAACTGGGAATTGAAATGACAAGTAAAATTTTTTCTTTAGTCTTTTTTTAATTTTTTTTATTTATTCTTAGCGTTTCATTAAACCAAAAACGTTTGCTTTTTTTTTGCCTTTTTGGTTTTTAATAGGTCAATGTACGATGAACAGAGTATTTGTCGTCGACTTATTTGATGTGTCATTGCAAACATATATTTTGTGTCAACAATAAAATGGAAAATCCTCGATGTTACTATGCTAAAATTTGTCTGTTAAAGTTAATGCTAAAAGAAGATTAAAAATGGGGGGCGACGTAATTAAGAATTTTGCCAGATCTCTGGAGTTGATGTGAAAAATTTTCTATTTCTTCTGTAGAATAATTTTATTTCAATGTTCTTATTAACTTTTTCTTTTCCGTTTTTTGTGTTCAGATTTTGTTTTGTTTTGGTAAAGTGAATGACATTGTGAAAATGGTATTTCGTATGTTATATATCCAAAATAATTGTTCCTATATTTGCTATCTAAATGGGTATTAAAATTTAAAATAATATCAATTTATAACCAAATTTTTCATAATAATGAATAATACATATTTAAGGTGAATGAGGAATTATCATTCCTCACAAGTAAGTTTACGGTTATACATCTTTTTATAAATCGATTTCACGTAATTACACGCAATTTTATACTTAACACTTGGATACTTTTACTAGTTTAATAGAATAAGTTTTCAATTTTAATTGGAATTCGTGTCACTTGTAATTACTTTCCATTTTTTTAACTTTTTATGTCATTAAATTTGAAAGAAATGCAGCACAAACTTTTTAATTATTGAAACACGGAGCTTTATTGATTACAATGAATCTATTCAAAAAAAAAAATGATCAAAGTTCAAATCAAAAGTCTACCTATTAAAAAACTGAAATAGCTAATGTCGTGAATTGTACTTTTAAAATGACAAGAGTTCTCAAATCTAATTGTACAAAGTGTTGGCACTTATTGCCACTCTACTACATTTTAATATAAAATTGATAGACAATAATATTTTGCGTCTAAAGAAAATTGTTTGAAATATATTGTCGTCATACTGAATACATTCAAAGTTTGATAGTTCTATTTATATTCCTACATAAATGTTTTATTATATTCTATTTATTTCATAGTTCAAATTTCCGGGAATTGTAAATTAGATTTGCTTTTATTTAAAAGTTTATAACGGGAGTCTTCCTGACCAACTTCGAATACTTTTATTTTTTTTTTTCACATTTCTTGTTTTGTATTTTTTTTCTTATCACGATTTATGATATTGTCCAAAGGGAATATTCTTTAACTATATGAACTTTGATGTCAAGATGGGCAAGAATAAAAAAAAAAAAAAATAACAAATAAATAAAAATTTAAAAGAAAAATGAGAAATTGTGGTGATGACGATAACACCAAAGTTTTATACCTCAAAAACAAAAAGAAAAAAACTGTCCATAAACAAAAAAAAAACGAAAATTTTGTATAACTGGACACAAACACACACACCTTGGGTATACTTATAAAATAACTATGTGTAAAGGATCAGATGAGGGAAAAGTTTTTCTTTAAATGGTCGTCAATCATCTTGAAATTTAATTATGATAAAATTATGATTTTTTTTTCTTTTTATTTTTACATACAAGAAAAAGTTTTCTTGTTAAACTCCTAAGAATAACCATAGTGGGAGTTTTTCTCCAGCAAATGACAACTTCGTTATTATTTTTGTTAGCTACCCCCTGATCTTTGTTATCACTAAACAAAATGTAAGTACATACATATACACAAAAGTTTTGTCAAATAAATTTCTTGACCACGTCAAAAGTTAAAAAAAAAAGTGTAAAAATCTTTTAAGGTGGAAGTAATTAAGTCATTCAACTTTTTGCATTTAATATCAAAAACCACAGTTAATAAATTGGTGACATTTACAATAAAAAATAAAATAAGATTTTTGTAAATACTGATTGAGTTTTGTAATTTGTATTTTATCTGAGAGATTTAAGTACAGAAGGTTCGGTTTGATATTTGGTTCACAAAGTATTGAAACTCGAAAACTTAAATTATTAATTAAAATAAAAAAAACACCGGAAACTAGACAATTACATATTTATTTTCAAAAAAGTTGCAATTTTACTACAATAATTTCAACTTATTCTTGATATTAATGAACATTTAATAAAAGTACGCCGTTGTTCTTCTAATTTAATGTATATTGTTTTTAATATGAAAATCGAAAGGGTAATACTAAAAGGATTTGTGAATTTTTGAGAGATCCTTGCATATATGTTATCTTTTTGTTTTGAACTCAACTTTTCAAGTAAAAGATAAAGTAAAGTAATCTAATCATTAACTTATTTTCTTTAAAATTTTTTATGTTTATAAATTACAAAAAGTTTCAATTAAATATTTTTTTTGAGTAAATTTAAATTTAGTTTTAACTGCAACCTGCCGATTTTTTATATAATTAATTAGATTTTAACTTTAATTGTAGATATTTTAAAGAATATTCTTTTTTAATATTAAAAATTCATATTGGAATTTTTCTATTTTCTTTTTTGTAATTTTTTCTTATAAAAAAGAAAAAGTTTTTAGTTTTATTATTGTTCACACATTGTTCTTTCTAAGTTTTTATTTTCCCTAGAAAATAAGGGAGAAATAAAACTTTTTAAATTAATGTTATTTTCTTTTATGTAATTTCTTATACAAAACGTTATGTAAAACGTACAAATATTTTATGTACTGAGATCATACTTATGTATGTTACGTATGGGTACGTGAATGTATCTATGTTAGCATCTCATTTTTGTCAAATAACGTGAATGTTAGCATTTCATCTCTGCCAATACAATATAAAACAATTACAAAAAATAAAATATACAACTTTCTTTTTAATATTCTATGTAAAATTAAAAATGTTCGTGATTGCATATATTGTAAATATAAAAACAAAAAAATTACTGAGTATAAGTATGTGAAAAAACTTTGTTCAAAACTTTAAAGGCAATTTGCAGCTACCTAAATTAGAGATAGAACTGTATGAAATTCAGTATTTACATTTCATCGATAAGCATTCGGTTCTTGTACGAATAATAATTTGGGAAAATTATAACGAAACTAAAAAGAAAGTGAAAAAATAAAATTGTTTAAACTAAATTTTTAAAATAAATCTTATTACTGATTTAATATCTTACAAAGCGACTGTTCGTTTTAATAAAAGGTAAAGTGTTAGTTTTTAATAAAACTCCTTTCATTTCTTTTGAAATTTTCATTTATATCTAAAAGTACCCATGTAAGTTAATTCATTTTTCTGAATGTAACAATATAGTGAGTTAAATGTCCAAAAATATTTTTTTAGTAAAATTCATTTATACATACTTATGAATGTATGTATGCTTAGATGCATGTACATATGTCAAACGCATTAAAAAAATATTGATGTTTTTTGAGTTGTTAATGCTTTATGCAAAAATTTTTTAACAAAACTTTTTAAATTTAATTTCATTTCTATATATAAAAATTTTCATACCATAAAAACATATCATACCAATAAAGCATTTAAAGTATTCATATAATGCTACATAAATGCACATATTTTTTTTATATTGGCATATTGTGCAAAGTACATATGTCATTGTATGCGAAACATTATTATGTTAAATAATTTGATACAATAGCTAAAAATTTTAATATACTTCCAAAATTTAAATTAATTACGCTTAGAATATAAGAATTTTTCTTAGAATATAAAAAGAAAATGTTCTGCTCTTGTTGGTGCTGTAGGAGAAAACAAAATATCTAATATGAGTTACTTTGTCGTTAAGTTTACTGC